TAGATGGCATATGTAAGGTATACTAAGGTATTCAACAGGGTATCCCTGGAAAGCCACGGAACGGTGGATAACTGAGGGGGGGGGGTAGCATATATATATATATATCTATATATAGATATATATCTATATATATATATACACACATATTTATATAGGCCCCTAAAACTGGTTTTGATGGCCTCAGCTGCCTTTGCCTCCTCCTTTGCCTCGCAGGGAGAAGGCCGGGTGATCTACTCCAACGGTCAGGCCGCGAGCCGGGATTCTGGGCCCTGCGGAAGGAGGGAGAGAGTGAGTTTTTTAATTCGAACAGGGTTTTGGTGGGTTCCTTTAAAGGGGTCCTTAAAGGGTTCTATAGGGGCTACTGTACTGCAAGGGTTGAGGGTTTAGAGGTTCTCAATAATTAGAATAGAGTTTTGGGGGTATATTATACTATAGTCATGACTAATAGGGAACTGCCCACAATAGTATTGGTATTTTTTTAGACGCTCCGGCAGATCGTCAACACGACCTTCAAAGCTGGCCAGCAGAGCATGGAGCATCTGGAGACCTTGATGAAGGACGGGGGGCTGGCTTGAACTGACTAGCTTCGCGGCGAGTCCACGAACTGCGTTCGCTGCGTGTCTTATGGCCGTGTCGAAGGAGGCCGTCGGAATCTCAGAACCCACTCTTCACAACGGTGTGACAGTCCATGTGGCCAGCGCTTCGCCTCCGGTTCTAAAGGATCACTCTGAACCTCAAAACTTGAGCTCAGGTGCCGCCTCCACCGCCAGCCAGCATGCTCGCTGGCCCAGATGGCCTTGCATGGCTGAGCAGAGCCAGTCGCGTTCGTCGAATAATACGAGTCTCGCTCCGTCTTTTCGGCTTGCTGCTGAGGGATTTCGTTCCTGGCGAGAAGCCTCACGAGCCCGCGTGCCTGGCACGCTTCCTATCGAATAATACGGAATGCGATGGTTGCACAGCGCTGTGACAGGCGTCGTCCTCCACTGCACCAGCCATACTCAACGACAGCCGGCCCCCGCTGCCTCCACCGGAACCGTGAGCCCTGCAACAAAAAGTCTGTTGCAGGCTGGAGAGTTTTTTGTCCTGAGAGCAGGTACTCCATGGTGGCGGATCGGCCGGACATGTCGCTTCCTATCGCCGACGGCGACGGCTTGTCGCGGCTTCCGGCCACCTCCTCGGAGCGACAGTCGACGAGTCGACGACACGTAACCGGACTACGGGAACGACGTTTTATTCCCAGACTTCCTTCGGAGCAAAGTCATGAATCGTAGCCTGATTTTCAAGCAGGATCCAGAGAATTTGGGCTCATCGCACGTGCTGAACCTTCCCCTTCACGCCTGCAACCTGAAGTCTCAAGAGAGCCCTGGACCGGAGAGGTGTTGGCCTGGACCAACATACCGCAGCCACCGCCAGGGGCTCAGATGACTTGAGAGCGGAGTTTGCAGGGTTTGCCGGTCCGCGGGAGGCTTTGGAGAGCAGGGACGAGAGGGTTCAAGGTTTTGTCTTTCTTTGCCAGACGTTTCAGCAGGCTTTTCGGTTGGCTGCTGTTTGAGTCAAGACATCCTTAGTGGCATTTCAGGCCACTGGGTACCACGGCTCCACTGCCGGCGCTGAAAGCTCCGGGCCCTGCTGGGTCCGGGGCTTGGAGGCTTCGGGGTCCAAGCAGCTCTTGTTTTTTTTTCGGACGCTTCAAGAAAGTGCTCAGGGCTGTCGCATCCTCGCCGCTGGGCGCCTCGCCTTTGGGTGCG